GAGGGTGTGGCCCTGTGGGTGAGGGAAAACATCCCCCAATGGTTTTTCCCCATGCAGTGCCTGAAATTGCCACATAACTTTTTATTTTCTAGTAGCAACTACCATTAAACCACTTTTATTCAGTAAAGAACAGACTGTGTGTCCCTTAGCACTGGGGATGCTGTGGCCCTGTGGGTGAGGGAAAACATCTCCCCGTGGGTTTTCCCTGTGCAGCACCAGAAATTGCCAGATAAATTGGGTTTTTTTTAGTAGCAACTCCCAAAAAACCACCTTTATTAAGTCCTTAAAAGAACAGACTATATATTTCCTTAATGCTGTGTGTGAGGATTGACATCCCCCTGGGTTTTCCCCATGAAGTACCAGAAATCACCACGTAAGTTGTTTCTCCAGTAGCAGTTACCAAAAAATGTATCTTTATTAAGTGGTTAAGAGAACAGACTATATGTCCTGAACACAGGGAGCTCAGCAGGGACTGCTAACCTTGCACTGCTCACAGCTTAAACTGCTTTTAACTCAACAGGTTTCAGTGACGACAACACAGGGAAAAAAACCTACCAAGGGGCAACTTCACCCCCAAACTCACTCTGTGCTCCTCCCAGAACCATCCTTAGAGGGTTTGCTCCACGTTTTCCATCTCAGCAGTCACAGAGGGAGTTTCCTCCACAGTCCAATCCCTGTTTGTAACACACAGACTCTGTGGAATCAATGGTGGTGGTGCACGATCCGTGAAAATATCCCTTCTGGTTCTTTGCCATCTCCCAGGGCAGCCAGGAAACCTTCCTGTCTCCTCCTCTGGGCTAGAGCAGCCAGGGATTTGAAGGTCTTTGGCTCATAAATAGCCAGGTCTGCCAGCACTTTCCTATTCAGCTCCACCTGGGACTAAAAGGAAGAAAATGTGCTGGTTAAGGAGTGTGATTTTGTGATTTGCAATGCTCAATCACTCATTATTAAACATTCAATATAATTAATGCTCTTTATTATTTATGTACACTCTTTCTTAAATATCATTAAACACTCAATGCTTAAGACCTGAAGCAAATTACCTTTAGGGTCTTAAGGCAAATTACCTTTTTTCTGCCCTCTACAATTCTGGGAGTGTTAAAGACTCTCAGACATGACTGTTGGGCCATGGATGTCTCATTACGCCACTGTGGAAAAATTGTTTACTGACTTCCAAAGCTTTTTTTACTGGAAGAAACCAAGAGCTGGAGAAGAATCTCTTACTCTGCTCCAGACCATGTGTTCCAGATTAACCTGTGGCATTTGTTTCAGCTCAAACAAATTAATCCAGTCTCAACAATGAAACCCAATTAAAAATAAACCCAACAGTCTCAACAGATGCAAACCAATTCAAATTAAAACCAAGCCTGAACAAATGAAAACCAATTCAAATTAAAACCAACATTTTACACAAATTAAAACCTGTATCAACAAATTAAAACCAATTTAAGAACGAGAGACAATGACACCAACTCTCTGCATTGTTCACTGCTCACCAAAACACAAAGGGAGTGAAAAGAACAGAGATTTCTTAGGGCTTTTGTTTCGGGTTGGTTTTTTTTTTTTGGCTCATCCAAGGTTTGTATTTTTAAATCTCTGGAAGTAAAATAAGCTGCCACTTCATTCCCATAATAGCAACAAGTGTAAAAGCATTTTACAAGTCTCATTCTTCAGATGCTCAGTAAAAGTTTTGGGGACAGGACAAGGTGTAGAGCCACAACTTGCAGCAGGGTAAATGGGGATGATGCAGATAAGGGAGAAAAACAGGTTTAGAGCAGAACTTATTTCCTGAAGTGAATGAAACTGCTTTCACAAGCCTTTCATTAGGAGCATGAGGAAGTGATTACTCTCCAGGTACCATCCTTACCTTGAGCAGGTTGCTTATAAAGGCTGAGTACTTCAAACCATGTTCCAGGGAAGCTGCTTCAATCCTTGTGATCCACAGCTGAAAGGGTAAAAATTCACATACTGGCTGACAAAATCCTTTCAAAGCAAACCTTTTGCCAAGCTGATCTGCTCATACTTACTAAATATATTTAAGTAGAATCACAGAATATCCTGAGCTGGAAGGGACCCACAAGGATCATCTAGTCCAACTCCTGCCCTGCACAGACACCCCAACGATCCAACATGTGCCTGAAAGCACTGACCAAACACTCCTGAAGCTCTGTCAGTTTTGGGGCTGTGACCACTGCCCTGGGGAGCTGTTCAGTGCCCAAACACCTCTGGGGGAAGAACCTTGTCCTGATATCCAACCTAACCCTGTTCAGTGCCCAACCAATCTTTGGGGGAAGAACCTTTGCCTAATATCCAACCTAACCCTGTTCCAGTGCCCAACCAATCTCCGGGGGAAGAATCTTTGCCTAATATCCAACTAACCCTCCCCTGACACAGCTCCACACCATTCCCTCAGCTCCTGTCACTGCTCACAACCTTCTCAGTGCACCATACACACATGAACTTCAGCCTGAGCTGCTTCAGACCACACAGGGACTGAAAACACTTCCTTTAAACTCCTATTTTCCACCCACTGGTTCTGAGGGAACCCCCCAGTAAGGAAAAAAAATGACTATTTTCAGTCTGCCCTTCTCCCATTTGAGTATTGCCAGCCAACATTTGGCTCTTTACCGCTCTGAGGAATCTCTTCTTCTCCCTCCTGGCTTTTGTGGACCTCACGAACGCCCTGCGGACGCTGCGCACTGCCAACTTGTAGCAGCGGTTCTTCCTCCCACGAAAATGCTGCAAACAAAACAGAATGTTCTTGTTCACTTAATTTCAAGGCTGTCAAACCCTTCAGTAATACTAAGAGCAGCTCATCTGCATCTCACAGCTCTCCAGAACAAGGATCACTGAATAGTTCAGGAGCATCAGCTAAGCCTTCAGTTTGTTGTGTGAGGAATCTTGAAGCTGAACAGTTGGAGCAGGTGGAATAATGTCAGTCCAGCACAGAGACAAAACCAGACCTCTCTGGGCTGTGGTTCTAGGGGGAAGATAACCACAAAACTATCTTCACCCAACCCCAGACTCATGCATTTCTTCTCAGCAGTTGTGTCAGTATGGACACAAGGATGGGGTAGGAACCTCTGATGTGTCCAAAAGTCATCTCAACTGAAAATAATAAAAGAAGTTTACACTCACATCCATCTAATATGAAGCAGGAGGAAGTAGCCAGTGCTGCACAGTCAGAAATAATTACTGTGGGCAGCTTAGGTGCTACAAACCCAATACACTTTCACCTCCTTCAACATGTTTTCTCTCAATATTATATGTGCTCCCTCTCTGGGTGCCCTTGGAAAAGGTTCTTCTCTACAGCAGTTTGAACTTC